GTCATCCAATAATACCAAATAGTCAACCTTGAAAACATATCCATGTAAATAACATTATATAGATTAAGCAGTTTGTATTTATGTATTTAGGAATGTGTGTGTACAAACATGTATACATATACACACACATGTATGTAACAATTTTAAAAAGAGACACCACAAACCTGAAAAAGCATGAGGGTAGGGGACACAAGGGAAGGGTTGAAGGGAGAGAAACAATATAAATTACAATTTAAAACACTGTAACCTCAGGTGTTTCGGGCATGAGTGGGTGGGTGAGAGCTGGCAGACACTCACCTGCCTCTAGGCTCACAGCAGTAAGGTACCTATTACTCTCCCCTGCTGAGGTAAAGTCTCAAGTGAGGGCTCTGAAGCCCCAGGAGAATTAGGGCTAGGAACAGGACTCAAGCCCCTGGCTCACCGCCAGCAAGCTTTGCTATGCTCTTCTATAGCAGCTGTCACCAAGGTAGGCCTCAAGAAGGTGACCATGGGACAAAGAAGATTTAGAATCCTGGGAGAGAAGCAGTGAGAGACAGCAGTGTTCACCTGGGGATGAGAGTTGAGAACTCACCTCTTCCGCCATGGTTTGGGTGTGGCATCTCCTCTAACACTCATGCTGGAGTTTAACCTCCATTGTGATGCATTAGGAGTATGCAAATAATCCAGTGTGGTACTTATAGGTAGGGCCTTTGCAGGGTGATTAAGACTGGGTAAGGTCATAGGGAGGGAGCCCTGTGACAGAAATAGCACCCATGTGCTACTTAAGAATGCTATCAATAAGGCCATCCCTGGCCCCTGAATCTTGGACCAGAACAAACCTATTTTCTTTACAACTTACCAGTCTGTAGTGTTGTGCTATTAGCAACAGAAAACAGACTCAGACCCCCTGTCGGAAGCTCTTTTCAAAAGGCAAAGTATGTGGTTTCAGAGCACATGGTGACTCGAGCCTCATACCCCTTGATGCTGTTTTTGGAGGCAAGATTCACCGGCAGTCACAAACTGGCCGACAATGACGAGGCACTGCCAACTGGGAGGCATGGAGCTACCCGCAGTCTCAGGCGCCAACTGGGAGGCATGGAGCTACCCGCAGTCTCAGGCACCAACTGGGAGGCATGGAGCTACCCGCAGTCTCAGGCGCCACTGCAAGTCCTGGCATCATCTTACAATAAGGAGACCACAGTCCACAGGAAACAAGCTAACCCGAAGACACCTACCTTGTTCCAGGTACTGCTCTAAGCCTGTTACACATACCCTCACTTATAACAAGTCCGTAAGCTATGAACTACTGTTGTCTCTGCTTTACAAATGAAAAAGTGAGGCACAACAAACTTCATCAACTTGGCTACAGTTACCAGCTGTCAAGAGCTAGGCTGCTATGAAGCCAGGGCCCAAGGTCTTCACCATTATCCCATGTGTCTCTTGGTGACTCCCCAAGGTCATGAAGCTAGTGAAATGCAAGGCTATGATTTGCATCTAGCTCTGTAGGATTCTGAGCCTGTACTACATTCTGTGACACAGGAGCTCCCCTTCCAGCCCCTAGACCTGCCTAGGTCAGTCCTCTTCACAGACACGGGACCTAGAAAACAAGGGGACCCAGACACATTCATGGGCAGCAGTCTGCCAAAACTCCCAGAGACAGTAGAGTGGCTGGACCCTGGCTTACAAACAGCAGACCCTTAGCAAAAGCAAATGACACTGACTGCCTCAGGAGGAGTGCCTTCCAGGGTTCGTGGTAGACCAGGGAAGGTTCCTGGGGCCTCTGACCACATGGAGGCTCTGACTGTCTGGTATCTGCCTGCTCTGACCAGGGAGAACCTTGCTATACCACAAATCACACATCCCAGCTCAGGCTGCAGGAGCTGCTCTCACTGGCATGTCACTATGCCAAGCTGACAGCTCCCCAGAGCCATGTCACATGGGACAGAGACACCAGCAAGCCCAAAGGAGCTGTTCTTCGCTCCCTGCTGCTCCAGTTAGGCACAGATTTTTATTTGTTATTGCATAAAATGCTTTCAGTGGTGACAAAGCCAACACCATGGGCAGAAAGAGAGAGAAGCCCTGAGGATGGGCGAGGAGCAGAGAGTGGCCGCAGGTCCATGGAGGGACAGCAAGTGTAAGTAGCTAGCTGGCCACACGTGACCCCTTGAGCAAGCAAAAGGAAAACAGGGCTGAGAAACCTCCACGCCAGCACGCCACACCCGGCCTGGCCTTCTGCTTTTCCTGGGGCACGCTCTGTAGACATCGTTTTCACAGCACTGCTTCCAGGGGACAGCTAGTGCACGGAACAGGGGGCTGCTTTCCCCACCCTTATCCCAGCCAGGCCATTCTGCAGAGTTACAGCCTAGGAGACGGGTGAAGGTCAAGATCTAGAAGCTTCACAGGACTGTGCAGGTAGATGAGGTAGAATACATTTCCAATAAATTTTTATTGGAATAAAAGCACAGGAGAGACCTTGCTCACCCAAGACTCAGCAGGTTTCTTCCTCTGTCAGTTGGGACAGCAGCTGACTGGAGAGTCTATACAGCTAGCTGCCTGAGCTCCACAAAAGGTCAGACACCCTGGGCAGAGAAAGCAACCCAGAGCCTGCTCATGCAAGCCACACTGGGGACACTGGGGGCTGACACTCCTGGCTTTGTAAGGATCACCTTTGGCTTGGTAATTCCACACCTGGGGAGATGTCATGGGGAAACAATCCTAAGGAGAGAAGATAATCTTTCTGTACATGGACCTGCCATCGTCTAATTTATAATATTAAAAAGGCAAAAGGAAGCATTCAGCCAGCCCAGGACAGGGAAATCAACAATAAAGTGAACCAAGCTCCATCTAGTTAACAGAACCACCGGGGGAACCTTCAAAGACTGCACTTATACATGAATGGGGAGGTGGAACATTAACAGCTCTGCTGACACCATCTCTTGCTTGTTCTCTGAGTTGAAATGAAAGCTCAGTATGTATCTCGACACCTCAGGAAGATTCAGAGCACCTGAATAAAGTCTAACTCCCATCTTGCCCAAACCTTCAAAATGCTACGTGTCAGGGAAATACTAGAAAATAGTAGGAATTAGCAATGCTGGTAAAAAGAAAACTTTTTCTGTTTTCTTATTGTTCCCAGGTAGTTTATAAATGAATCTTACTTTTAGATTGAAAAAGAAGTTAAGGGTATAACTCAAGTGGCAGAGCATGTGTAGTTCACATGAGGACCTCATTAGGGCCCTAGCACAAGGGGAAAAAAGCCAATTTATTTTTAAAGTTCCTTAGGTATGTGAGGTGACCTTTACGCTACAAACAAAAAGGTAGGCAGACAGTTCACAGAGATTTAACTGACATCTCTGGAACTCTGGTCACTAAGTCCAAACACACGACTTTGGAAGCACAGACTAAATCCTGCCTCCCAGGCCCCGCACACCCCATTTTCACTTTCCCAAAGAAATGAAAAAGAACACCCAAAAACAAACTAAATAACCAAAGTAGCAAGAACACAGCAGTTACTCAGGAATGAAGCCACCAACCAAAGCACAACAGTAATGTCTACAATGAACACAGAAACACAAAGAACAGCAGTAAAGAACCAACCCAGGACAGCATTCCTGATGTCTGAAAACAAAATGTCCCTTCAAAATTTGCAGGGATTCCAAACAGCCTTGTCAGGGGGACCAGACTGTGGCAACACGGCCAGGACTGTTGCAGCAGCCGACTTCCTGGCAGAATGCAGCCCAGACACCGCAAGGAGGACAGCACTGCTCCCCCACTTTCTCACCACAGAGACTCAGTATCGCCTAGTGACTCTTCTTGGGCATATGCAAGCACATTAATATCTGGCTAAAGAACCCAGAAAACCCTGGGTATTTGGGCTAAAAGAGCTCCTTCCACTTCCCGTAGGTGCCTGAGGGTCCTGACCTGCCATGGAGAACCCAGATGGCCCATGCCCCACACCAGGCACCACCACAGCTTTCTTCAGTAGGCATGGCCCCCTCCGCAGAGCTGGGGGGGGCAGGTGCTTAGGAGCCTTCTCTCTACCTGTCTCCACTTGTAAAGCTAGGGGAGAGGATACTAGCAGCATCTAGATCCCCAGGCCCTCTGGGATTCACTGCCTGCTTCTCACATGGCTAGAGAGTTGGGGTAATAGGCACCTTTCCTTCCCTGGCAAAGCAAAGGAGCTGAATTTTGCCATATACTTGGTACCCCAAAACACACAGTGTCCTACTGTCCAGGGACCTGCTGGTGGATAGAGGGAGGGAACTCAGCAAAGACAACGTGCTTCCTCCCGACCTGAAGTCCTCTGGTGTCACAGCTAGTCAGATGCAGGACGAGACGGGCCGGCACTCCTGGACCAACACTGCCTGTTGCAGACTTGTTTAGTCACGAAACCCTGTGATCAGACAGAGTCTTACTCCAAGGCCTAATGCACGGCAGATGGTGGAGGTAACAGTCAACAGCTTCTCGGAGTGGAGTAGGGCACAGTCAAGAGAGGTGGGATGGAGACAGAACAACTCCTAACTCTCCAGGACTACTCCACGGTGGAGCATCCCTACAGGCCCGGCATCCGCAGAGGGCAGGCTAAAACAGCTCACTAACTGGTTCGGCCTCTTCAAAGTGCCTGAGCCAAAGCCATGTATGGCAGAGCAGAGGTCAGCACCAACCTAGGACTCAACAGGAACAGGCACTACACCTGTCCCAGGATTCCCAGGGAGCTCTTTTGTGGGTCACCTGGAAGGACAGAAAGCTATCTGAGAGGTAGGACTCTAAATCAGATAGATGTGACTTCAAATTCTAGCTCTGCCACTTGAATGACTGCGTAAGCTACAGACGGATGACAATGTCTTGGTTTATGTGTCATTCCCAAGACTAGGAGATCTAGCAAGTGGACAAAGCTGCACCTGGCTCCTAGGAGGCCCTGAGCCCCCACCTTCCTCACAAACAGAGTACCAGCCATACTGAGCCCAGAAGTGGACAGAGTCTGACACTCCAGCAGGGCCATTGCTCCTGGCGGTCCAGGTTACCTTTGGGCATGATCTGGTGCATGGCAACTGAGAGGAAGAAGATAGAGTCGCTGTAGTAGGTCCCCGAGCCAGCACTGAAGTGCTTCTGCATGGCCTCCACGATGGGGAAGAGCTTGTCTGTCAGCACAGCAACATCGTGGAAGATGACCTGCAGTGGGGAGCAGAAAAACCCCGAGTTAGCCAATCATCTGAGCAGTAGACATCAGACACAAACCTGAGCCCAGGAGGCAGAAAAACCCCGAGTTAGCCAATCATCTGAGCAGTAGACATCAGACACAAACCTGAGCAAAACCCCGAGTTAGCCAATCATCTGAGCAGTAGACATCAGACACAAACCTGAGCAAAACCCCGAGTTAGCCAATCATCTGAGCAGTAGACATCAGACACAAACCTGAGCCCAGGAGGCAGAAACAGGGTAGAGCCACGATCTGAGGAGCTTTGGGAGGGGCAACTGAGGGCAAAGAAAGTGGGGGAAGGCAATAAGGAGGGGAGTCCAGATAGCACAGGGGCTAGCTAGGCCGACAGGAACACTGCGGGGACAGGACAGTGGACAAGTTGGAGAAGGACAGGAGTGGGTCCAGCTCCCAGGATACTTTCTAGTTTCAAACTTCAAGACAAGAAACCTGGCTCCCAGCCGGGCTGTGGTGGCGCACGCCTTTAATTCCAGCACTTGGGAGGCAGAGGCAGGCAGATCTCTGTGAGTCTGAGGCCAGCCTGGTCTACAAAGTTCTAGGACAGCCTCCAATGCTACACAGAGAAACCTTGCCTCGAGAAAAATAAAAAAAGAAACCTGGCTCACTTTGTGTTGATAGTGGTCATGCAAGCAGGAGAAAGGTCAGATGTGGACACTGCCTGAGGCATTCTCAAACAGGTGAGCTCCGTGCCCATTTACTTTCTCCCCTGCCCAAGGCTCTGCCCAGGTTCCCACTCACCACACTCCCTACGCTTCCAGAGCCTTTGGTCATCACACCCAGTCCTGCATTGTTGGTTCCCCCTCCAGTGGGGTCTGCTCATGTTCTAGAATGCTAATATTTCTTATTTCTCTCTAAACTATATTCCTTTTAGTTCATGTTTACTTCTGTCTTCATTCTCTTTCAGTTTCTAAAACAATACTGAGCTTAGTTTAGCCAGAATGGCAGCTCACTCCTATGAGTTCTAACACCCAATAGGCTAAGGCAGCAGAATTACTTTAAGTTCAAGGTCAGCCTGTGCTACAGAATAGGACCCTGTCTCAAAACAGCGAGAAACCAGTTAGTTTACCACGTGTTGTTGCTCCCTGGTGTCAGATCTGCACAACTTTAAATCCTGCACCTGTCTGTAAAAGTTTTGTCCTATTTCTTGACATTTTGCTTCCAAGGTGCTATTTTCCTTCAACCATTTTCTGTCCATTCTTTTCTATGGCCTCTCTGTTAGGCCAGTTCTTGCTATTTCTCAACACTAGTCCCAAATTACATCTCTCCCACATCTCTGTAGCCTGTGGCCCTGCCCTGTGGCTTTCCTGCATGGTTAACCTCGTCCCCTCCAAGCATCCTCTGTCACACCTCACAGTCATTTTCCAAATGCACAGATTTGTATCTCTCTTCTTAGCTTCACATCCCCCAGCAAGGCCTGCAACGGTGGCTCCAAGCTTCCTCCTCTCCCCTCAAGTGAAAGTGAACTGTCACCCTCATCCCACCCCATCAGACGCATGTCCTCATAAGTCTCCACATGCTCCTCCCATGTATGGAATTCCCTCTCCGGGCCTTCCCTCCAGCTTTTCCTCCACTCCCATGAGGCTCCAGGCCCCTCCTGCACCCCATTTCACACGGAGCTTCACTGGCTATAGCTGTCTCCTGCCCTGTAACAGCTGGCTAGATTCACGCCAGGCCACCGACACAGGTCTGTAACCTGAAGGAACCACACTTTGGGCAAGAGCCTTGGTCTCTTTGTGGATGACACAGGAATGGCAACCCTTACCCTTGTGGTGGCCACTGGAGTTCCTGGGGACAAGCTCTGCCCCAACCCCGCTCAGGGACTGCTGAGCTGCTCTCAGCCCTCAGTCTCACAGCCTGTGCCTGCCTGTGTCCAGTCCCCTGAATCTCTTCCCACAGATCAGGCATCACTCATGGGACAGCTTTCCCAGCACACCCTCATCACACCTCCAGACCATCCCTGCAGGCTGGAGTCAGACAAGATGCTGAAAGTACAAAAGGACTCTCGGGAAGCAGGCATCTCCATTCATAGAGAGGAAATGGAACAGGTGTGTGTGTGGGGGGGTGTAATGTGTGTATATATATGTATACGTGTGTGTGTGGTGTGTGCAAGTATGTGTGTGGTGTGTGTATATATGTGTGTAGTGTGTATGCAGTGTGTGTGCATGTATGTGTATGTCGTGTGTGTGTGTAGTATGCGTGCACGTGTATATGTATGTGCGTGTGGTAAATGTGCATGTATGTGTGTATATGTGGTGTGTGTGTGTGTGTGCATGTATATGTATGTGGTGGGGGAATATACATGTGGGCAGGACCTGCCTCAGCCCCAGCCAAGACCAGAGAAGCAAAGTGCTGTCAGCAGCCCTCTTACTCCGCCACAAGCCTCCCATCCCCCAAGCTTCCCAGGACACAACTGCATCCATCGGCACTAAGAGATTTATGAAGACAAGCTGGACTCGGTACATTTGTTTCAAGAGCTTTACTACTTAGCATGCTCTAATGAATATTTCAGATTATAAATCTGCTTAAAGAAAAATTGATATATTTCATGGATATACTCCCACAGCAGGAAGCAAGCCACAGACACTGAGTGCAAATCAAAACGCCCAGTCTCCCAAGCAAGAAGCGGGTCTGAAGACTGTGATCTCCTCAGACTGCATCAAGCCTGGACACCATGAAGCAGTTCAGTCCAGTCCAGGTTCCAGGGCCTGGCTGGGGGCTGCAAAGCCCCACCTCAAGAGCTACAAGAAGAACTGCCACAGCGCCTAGCAAACCCGGGTGTCATGTACTGGTTACTGAAGGTGGTCAGCCAGTGAGAGGGTCAGACAGCGGCTTACGCCAATGCAAGCCTACGATTTACAGAGATGCAGACAGCAAACACCAGTCACCACATATAACTCTCGTCATTTACTTACATGTGCACATATTAAAACTGCAAATCCTGCTGATTATAAAACATCCACACGCAAACTGAAAGCTCCTTCCTTAGGGAAGTCCTTCACATGAATCACAGCAATGTCTGGGACACTGACCAAGTCACCACTTCTGGATGCAGGACGGAGGCCACGCTGAGCTCATGAAGAAGCTACTGACCCCCGCCCCATGACAACAAGGCAGCTGGCTTTCTAGTCAGTCTCTATCAGACATTTGTAGTCACTAATTTCCTCTCATCAGTGACACTTAAAGGGTCTGTTCATAACAATATTTCACGCCAATAATTAGTCAGTCATCCATCTATCAGGAATAATGACTCAATCTGTGTTAGTCCCTTTGCCTCCTTTTATCTTTAATGAATTATGTTAAGGGACAATAATCTAAATTCAGTAAAGACAAAGTATGCTTAGACAAGTGTCCTCAAAGAGTTTGTTGTTCAGAATGCAGTGTGTATAGAGAAAACACTGTGAGCCAACCATAAGGGGCTCTAGGAAGACAACTCAGGAAGGATGGTTTCCAGAGGGAGGGGTATCTGGCCCCATTCTACCACGTATATCCCATTCTTTTTACCTCCAACCTTGGACAGCACAACCAGCCACGGTTGATCCTGTGCCAGGCAGGAGCAGACACTCACAGGCACAGACGGCCAGAGGAGCCAGGCCACCACTCCTGGAAGCATTCCCTGAGGTCCTAAAGCATGCCCAAGCAAGCCCTTAGCTCAAAGTGAGGAAAACTCACTGATAAAATGACTGGAGCCAGACATGGCTAGAGCCAAGGAGGCAGGTAATGAGCTGGCTCTGGGCACAGGAAGACGTGGTTTCCAGGAAACCCTGAGGCTGCCAGAAAAGCGCAGTCCCTGCAGCTGCAGGCAGCAGGGTCAGTCAGCAGGAGGAGATCACCCACAACTCGGGGGAGAAGATGGGTAACACCACTACTACCTCTGGTGCAGTCATAGCATCCATCTCCCGCAGACATGACAGAAGCATCTCCACTGTGCAGAGGGTCCGTATTCAGCATGGGAAGGATGCTGCAGTAACATCTGGACTTTGCCATCAATAACACTGTCCACCAACAGGTGACAAGCAGACATCCCTGTCCTAGTTTGCTTCTTGTTGCTGAGAGGAACAGGTGATCAAAAGCCAGTTGGGGAGGAAAGAGTTTATTTCATCTTACAGATTACAGTCCACCATCAAGGGAAGCCAGGGCATCAAGGGAAGCCAGGGCAGGAACTCCGGACAGGAGCTTGAAGCATAGCCACAGCAGAAAGCTCCTTTCTAGATCGCTAGCCACAGAATGCTCAACTCACACAGCCCAGGCCCACATGCCCTTAGGCTGGCACCTTTCACAGTGGGTTAGGCCCTCCTATATCAACTAGCAACCACAAAGAGACTCCCAGACATGCCCACCAGTTAACTGGATGGAGGCAGTTCCTCAATTGGGATTCCTTCTTACTGGTATGCCTAGGTTTGTGTTAAGTTGATAAAAAACTAACCAACACATCTGGAATCTTCCAGAGACTCAAGAGACAGAGGTATCATTAGTAAATCACAGTCCTGGATTCAATGGCAAGATGCTCTAGGCACCCGGCTACCCTAGCAAAATACTGCAACACCCTAACATTTCTGCAGGATGGGACTCCTGGCAATGTCCACAGCCTCAAGGCGCACAGTGGTGCCTGATAAGTACAGATGATAGCATTGAACTTTCAGTACAGTTAGAATGCTCTTTTCATGCAAGAATCAACAGACAGGAGATAATCTCTAGATATGAGACCTAAGACACTGCAGGCAGAAATCAGAGCTGGGCACTGGCCCTTCAGTGTCCTAGGCGGACAGAATGAAGTTACAGATCCCATCCTGTGTGCTCAGCCTACTCACTTAGCTTACCTTTGCCAGGCACAGCTGAGGGCTGGGCTGCTCACTGACTGTCAATCTAGTCAAATCAATGAGTCTGAGTTCAGTGAGAAACCTTGTCTAAAAGTAAGGCGAAGTCACTGAGGATGCCTGCATCAACCTGGGGCCTA